ACAGTCGTTTAACGTTATCAATACAAATCGTACGTTTTTCTGGTCATGCCTGCGACGCGCGATACGCTTTGGTTCTTTCATTCTTTCTTATTATGCGCGTGTGGAATGCTATAAAGTAATTTATTATCTCTTGCGTGTCAATGAAATTTCATGACGCGATATTGTCGTACGTGTCGCTATTTACCGTTCCCGCAGAGGAGATGAACTGACCCCGCTGTCGCCAAGCCCGTTTCACCCTGCTACAAGGGTGTGACGACTGCTGTGTACGCACATCGCCCGGTCTCTTGTAATCAATTACAAGAGTGTCGGGCGGCTCGGGGGCGCGCGTGCAGCGCGGATCGTACTTGGAATCTGATTAATTTCCTCCTTTATTGCGTGCACACATCATCCGCGCACATCATTGTCATCGCCTCTACACGCGTGTCCTCGCGGGAAAGCGTGAATCATCTTTCGGCTCAGCTCGATTGTGCTTATGTAATTTTAATAATTATTCTTTAACTTGAATTCTTTTATGTTGATCGTCCGTGTCCATCTATACCACTCCTCCACGTGCATTCAATTTCTCATTCTATACTTAAATCAGGCCATATTGCATTGTTTGCTGCAACTAAAAAGAGAGAGAGAAAAAATCATTTACGAAGGAATAATTATAATTATTATATATAAAATATAATATTTATATATGATATAATTATTATATATAAAAATTTTCGAAAAGATTACATTTTCTATTTTTATATAAAACTTGTAGCATTCAAACTTTAATTGCGTTACCAAAGAGCCATTCATTATTCCATTTGATTAAGATTGCTAGAGTTGAAAGACATCTTTGAAAGTTACAAGAACACTCTAATATTTCATCAATTTCACACATGTCAGTCTTTAAACGTTTCTAAATAATTTTCTGTATACGTTTCTTAAATAAATGTAGGAAATTAAATTTGAAATAGTAATAATTTTCAATTATCAATTACGTACCATAGATACACACCGCTCACGTAAAACGTATGAAACAAAATTCAACGCATCGGTCATATTTCCGAGAAACGCGACCAAAAGCGATAATTATTTTAATTTGTATTTGCATGCTGACCTGTTCTACTTGTTGCTGGCAACAATATGGCATGTAAATCACATTTTACAGAGGATTCCGTTCGTTACAAGGAAGCGTGAAGCAACGAGAGAGAAAAAAATTCGTTATGTATTCGATTTACGCGTGGGGAAGCGCTTCCATTCTCACCGTCATTTGTGTCATCATGGATTTCGTTCCCAGCGTGCCAAAGGAATTGATCCGACCGGAGATCGGTGTAACGAAGTGTTGGTTCAATAGTAAGTGAACGTTTACTAATAACTTACGACGGTGACGTTTTATTAAAATCATGTGTTTTATCAAGACCATATTTGAGAGAATTGTCAAAATTAAACTCTTGCAAAATTCGACGTATAAATATGCGAAAAATTTAATTCTCCGTTTCAGCGAACGAGGCGAGGGCGTTATATTTTTACTTACCCATGAGTGTCACCGTTGTCTGCAATATTTGCCTGTTTATCTCTACTGCACTAAAAATTGTGCGTCACAAGAAGGATACAGCTGCTCATTTGAGAAGCTCGGAAAGCAGACGCCACGATGACAATAAGCAATGGTTTGTATACAAGCATCTTTACACTGATACGTTATTCATAATCATATTAATATATGATTATACGCCGATATATCAGTTTGCCGAACAGCTTTGCATAATGTCGATCGGTCCTCGTTCCCAACGTGATGATTATTTTTAGACGGCAACTTTCCCATGCGGCCGTTTGCTTTCATAATTACGAAATCTTTTGAAGCAACAAACACATCGTCGCCGTTTGGATCGCGCGCGTACGAGATTCCTCGAGAGCATCTGCGATTCTCGAAAGAATGACAAACGATCGTGCGAATAAAAACCAAAAAGTGGTTGTCCCCCTATTTCATAAAGACAGACATCACTTTTCTTCAAAATTGTTTGAGAAAACTTGGACAACTCTCTCCCTGTTTTTTTAGCCCGAAAATTGATGATTATGATTTTCCGAAGATATCTATTTTCAGCGAGCATCGGTTACTTCAAATGCTTTCGTTTATCGCGAAACCCTTTGTTTTAGTAATTCTAAATTATAGAAGATACAGAAACAAACGCATTCGCACGCAGGTTCAATCTCTATCTGAAGTTGTTCATCGTGATGGGAATAAACTGGTCCATGGAAATAATATCATGGGTATTCGAGACGAACTCGCCGGCCTACATTTGGTATTTGACCGATCTGACAAACACCCTGCAAGGTCTCATCATCTTCATTATATTCGTGTGGAAAGAAAAGATCAAGCGACT